AGACGGGATCCGTCGAAGCATGTGCTGTTGCCCTGTCTTTCGTGACTGCATGTGCTGGAGGTGAAAGTTGACACCTCGGTTTACAAGATCTTGATGTTTGCCAACCCGCTCTTCAGCCCTGGCTGGACTGTCATCCGCACATTTCGTGGCTCTTTTACGCACGCGGTAGCCAAGGATAGTGCTTTGACTGCACTATAAGACGGGTCCCCAGGCCCCCAGGTCCTCCACTCGAAACGGCTTCGCTCTGCAATGTTGATGTAGCTGTACCCCGCAAGGCCTGGAACTTCAGAACACGCACCAGTAAAGCCCAGAAATCCCGAAACCCTATAGACCCCTGGTTTAGGATTTTATAAGGTTTAAATAGGGTTTGGGGATGTAGTATTGAAACAGTTTTTCCTGCGTATACATCGGCTTCAGAATCGCTGAAGAAGCCAAGCGTCAACATCGCATCATAGAAGCACCGTGAGGAGCCCATAGCATGCACCTATGACTGTTGCAATACGACGACTCATGTATCAGTCGTAGTTTGGTACTACCTTTGCTGTTACGACGACTATGACGACGACGACTGCTACTGCTACTGCTGCTACTGCGGAGTTTAGGGTTTGTGTTTAAAGACTATTGCTGTTATGTCCACTTGCTCAAACTCATGTGCTTATGGCTACGAGAGCGATGAACGACTGCGAGCACCTTTCTTTTAAGGGTCGAGGGTTTGGGGGCTTCTGTTTGGTTTTATTGTCCATTGTTGCAGGTTGAGGTGCGTAGGGTTAGAGGGACTCGTCCGCAATTCTGGGCTTCGAAGGTCTAGATTGATACAGGTTGGTGTGACTTTTGAGTGTGGCACGATTGAGTAGCCATTTTTGGGTCCAGAGGATGTGGAGGGAGGGTGTAGCCGGCCGAGGCAACGATCCCGTGAGCCGGCACTTGAAGACTCTGCAGCGGACGGCCTCTTTTCAGAGCTTGCCTTGCTGGGAACAACTTGGGTTCGTGTTCCTGGCATCATATTGCCGCAGCACTGAGTGGCTTGTCTTTGAATAGAAAAGTAGACGCACTTTGTCGTTTCTGTTAGATTGAGCAGCGACACTCAGGTTGGCACTGTTCTTCCTCAGCGAAGCCCGGTCATCGAAGGAGCACAAACTTTGCTTGGCAGCCACTATAGTCAAGTACTTCAAAGCGACAGGGGGCGTGCACAAACGGAAACGGTTCCTGGCAGACAAGAGAACGTCGAAGCGCAACGTCAAGCAAGGCACAAGTGCGAAGGCAGAGACTGTCATCAAGCACAACAAAGACATGAACAGGTTCTTGCTGGCTGACGCTTTGGCTCTTGCAGCCGTCTTCTTGGATGGAAGGCTGTCGAAACATTTCCAAGGCCAGAAGTCAAAGACCTGGGTGGTCTCTCAGGATGTGCCCCACGGCTGCAACATACATCGGCCTGCACGGCAGCCCTTCTCTGCTCATTAGCAAAAATGCGCGGGTTGTGTCATGGGATTCTAAGGCTTGATGACATCCCCTTCGAGGCCTCTCGTCTCATGCCTGTGCATATCCTCGGCACATTGCAGTGGCTCGGACGCTTGACGGTGGGCCCGGACGACCTTCGCAGATCCTTTTGGAATGGCACGAATGCTCGTGTCTTCCAATCTTGGACTGGCGGGAAGTCCGTGCCCCAAGTGCTGGAAAATGTTCAGCGCCACTTGGAAGAGCATCGTTTGGCTTTAAAAGCACGGAAAGCCGACACGAAAGCTCTTGCTAAGCTGCAGCGGACTCTGACACCTGCCATGATCTCTTGGAATGCGTGCCAAGCAGTGACATGTTTGTCGACGCTTGGCTGATTCACTTCGGTGGCCCATGCCTGTCAAAATCACTGTGAAAGCAAAGCAACCGAGGAATTTTGCTTTCCAGAAGAGAAGCGGCTTGGCTGACATTTTTAAACAGCATGCATGTTCGGCTACGGAAAATAGCCTGCCCAGGTAAGTGGCTTGGAACCACCCAGCCCGTGCTGAACGACAAGCTGGCAG